TGAAAGTGGTTTGCCTCTGCCTTCTTCTTAGTTCAAAGGGAGAGTGTCTGGCTCAAAGTCATCCAGCTGGCTTCATGCCTAAAGTGGGACTGAAACTCACCATTCTCTCAATTTCTAGCCTTGGTGCCTTGAATTACTATACTCCACTGGAGATTGCATGGAAGAGTCAACCCACTGTGGCTCCCGGAGCAAATTAATGATTTCAGTAGCTACAGCTATCAAAGGGGTAATATCAGGATCTTATTTGACCTCTTGTGGCTACTTGGGATTAAAGCTGATGGTGACTTTTGTTCCGTTCCAGGTATTGACTGCCAGTGGATGAACGCACTGAAAATGCACCGTGTGACCAGCAGCCCTTCTCTCCAACATTCCCGTCCCCACAGCCCCAACAACTTAACCCATTTCTTACCCTACCTTCACAATCAAGACACTTATGCTGCTGCTGTGAGGCGGACTTCAGTGCCCACTACCTATCATATTACCCCGCTCATTCAGTCAAGGAGCTCATCGCCAACAACCTATTTATCATCTTTACATCTGAATTCCAAGGGAAGCAGCAGTTCCAGTGCAACGTCAACTTCGGATAGTCCACCGGAAAGGGGCAGTGGCTCCAAAACCAGAAACAGAAATAACTATCATAGCAGCGTCTCTCCTGGAGGGGTGGCAGCTGGAAAGCGTTTTGTAAGAAACCCAACTGCTCCAGGGACACTGAGAAATGCTGGGAAATATTCTAGATCTTCCCAGTCAACCTTCAATCAATATCAACATCTGCCAAGGACGCATGAGAGAAAACACCCTCATTACCCACAGCAGCATAAATCAATACCAGGGATGCCCGTGAAAACTGAAACAGAAGAAGAAGAGGAAGAAAGCAAAGTCAGCGAAGGCGGGTGGGTGAAAGTCAATTATTCAAAGAAATCTAACCGACACACTGTTGGCAAACCAAACAAAGAGAAACCGAAAGGCCCTGAAATACTTCAAAGAAAATCCCGTTGATGCTTTTTTCAGAAATAGGTTTTTATTTTTTATTGCACAGAGCACTGACTTTCCACGGAGAAGGTTTGAAATTGTTCTTGAAATAACTGACAAACGAATGTGAGAATGGGGAGCCTGCCGTAGAAATCCCCTGGGAAGAAGGACATTAGCGCAGCCTTGGGTTCTGTTGGAGGCTTTTTTAGCACATTATAAGCCTGATGTAGTCTTCTCCTGGAATCAAAGCACAAGATGTTAATTCTCCCTTTCCTATGAAACAACACTGCCAAAGCATCTGACAACAGCTGGATAGCATTCTTGTGCCTGGAATAAGTTATCTTAGGGACCAAGAAGGACTAAGGACCCTGCCTACACCTCTGGCGTCTGAGACTCCACCAAAATGGTAGAGTTAATCAGGTGCAAAAGGTTCTGTTTTTTTTTTTTTTAGTGTGTCTACTTTTAATCAGGTACATTTTACTTAAGTCTAGTATTTCCATTAGCATGATATTCTAGTTCACCGTTCTTTGTTATTTCCGATACTCTGATCCAGTATTGATACAAGGACAAAAAAAAGTGCTTAAACCTATGAACGGAAAAAGAAATGACTGCAAAAGTTATCCTTTCCATATTTTGAGTGCTTGAGGTTGTCTAATGAATTATTTTCTCCTTGGCTTGATTTTGTAGCAGCACCTTCAAGGTACTATATCAATCCTCCATTTATCAATAAGCTCCAATCTACTGCCATTGGAATTATTCCTATGGTTTAAGGAAAAGTGTAACAGCTTCTACAAAGAAGCAAAATAATATAAGAAAAAAGGCCAAATTATTTTTGGTACAACTATTTATTAACCTAAGGTAAAACTCTTATTCATGGTATTTAACAATAGTCTGTGTGTTGTCTTTAGGTAATAAAAAGAAACATAATACTTATATGTATGCAGTATTTTGCACTTCCAATGAAATTGAATATTTGTTGGGCATACCTGCAAGAAAGCAAATTCCAGGAGGTTTTACTTGAAATAAAGAATTAGGTGGTATAAAATTAATTAATTTCTCCAATTACAATTTTCAAAAAAAAAAGACATTACATTAGATTCTAGTTAGATAAATGAAACCTAACTCCTAACTTAACTTTTTGAATTATAAGGAAAGGAAAAGGTTTTAAAAAGTGTTGTTTACAGTAATTTGATACTTAGCTGAGGAAATAAGGAATAAATGTATCTTATTTAACATACCTTGTCCATTTTTTCATGTGGTAACAGATTTTTAAAGATAGCAAAGTAAACCATTTCATCCAGCTGTAAAACTAGAGGTCTTTTCTCCATTCAAGGAGCTATTTCTTTGATTGGCTCAGTTCTCCTATTTCTAGGAAGAAGAGTGGTTTCCTAGGGGTAGTGCAGGTGCTTCCTATTTGTTCAGCAAATTATTGGGGGTGAGCTTTATGGATGTATTTATTTATTTACTAGATGTATATGGCCGTTCCCTCTCACATAGGCAACGCTAGGCAGCTAACACGATAAAAATGTCAATACAATAAGGATAAATAAATTACACGAAGCAAAAGAAGAATGTCCATCAAGTGCAAAGCAGTCAATAACAAAGAGATTCAGCTGACAGGCTCAACCCCCTCCCAACCCCCACACTTGAGAGAAAAACTGTATTTTAAGGGTTTTATGAAAGGCTAGTCGGGTTGGGGACAATTTAATCAACACTATATAAAAGCTCTCCTGGTTATGGCTGCCACTTGTTCCTTAAACAGGAGCTGTGAGATCAGGGAGACCCCAAAACTGTGCACTGATTTTGACAGTAGTGCAACTCCATCTAGGACTAAAGAAGGAAAAATCACCGGGTCCAGCAGGCCCTAAAAACAGAATGGATAGATTTGAAATCTGTTCTTCCCCATCCGGTTGTCCAAAGCCTCCAGTTACCAAGACAGAATCTTCACAGCATTACTTGGGCAGCCTAAGACCAAAGATATACAAATAGGTATCACTAGCCTTCTGACGTTACTTCACCCCATATGTCTGAATGACCTCATCTAGAATCTTTAGGTAAATGTTAAAGAAATGTGGGGAGAAAGTCAAGCCCTGAAGAACCCTGCAAAAAGGGTCATGGACTTGACATCTCCCCAACCCATTAATACTCACTGGAATTTATTCTAGAGGAAGGGAGTAGAACCTACAAGACCATGTCCCCTGAAGGATAGCATGACTAATAGTATTGAGAGCTGTAGAGAGAACAAGGAGAGTCAGGATGGCTACACTAACCCCACTTATTATTTATCACATTTCTACTCTGCTCATCTTAGCCCTTGCAAGTTCTGTTTATTGTCTTTAAATTCATGAAGCTCTGAACTCACGAAAAAGCAGATTAAGGGTTGAAAGAAAAAAGAGAGAAAGAAAAAATTATAAATAATTGAAATATAGCTGAGAGATGTTGTTCTTATGTGTTGGGGCAACTACCATCAGAATTTATAAACTTGCTAAGGTTGATTATCAAAATGTCCAAACTAATTCCAGGCCTCCAGGCCACAAAGAATACATTACACTCCCTGTGGGATTAAGCTCACATTCCTGTTCTTCAGCTTTACTACACTCACTACTTCAAGTCCAGCAATATGGTGGTGCTTGGCTCAAGCAGTTGGCCATCACAAAGATATATATATCCCTCTCAAAGCTCCAGTAGGTGTATTTGTGTCAAGGGATGAGAATAAGGTAAGATTTTGGCAACCCTCATTTGCAGCCTTCTCCTCTACCCAACATCTAGGCTGCAATCAATGCTAAAAGAAAGATGAACAGTGAAACTAATGTATGCTGTGGTGGGTTAAGTGGGCGGATGTTTGCAGCATCTTAATTAGTGAACAGGCATGCGTTACTTGGCTGCTTTCACTCAGGAATCTAAATATGGATAAAGGGGCAGAAAGAACATGTCTAATTTAGCAGAAATGTGAAATCCCTCCATCGCTGCATTGCCAAAATGATCAGCACTGCCCCAGGCTGGCTGTTACCTTGAGCACTGCAACATTCTATAACCAAAGTTCAAGCAAGTTTGATTTCATACCAAACATAAATGGTTGTGGTTTCATTTAATCTACAGCAAAAATATTAGAATTCCTGATTCCTGTAATCCACCTTTGATGGTTTAGTGTGAGAGCATTGTTTGCATTTTTGTATTTTAAGAAAACCCTCCCTATTTCATTATTTTTGTTCTTTTCTTTTACTGTTATAGCCTAAAATAGCAGCCTCTTACTGCTTGGGAATTAATGCCTTATAGCTCGGTCAAGCTAATTTATATGCAGACTATTATGTCAATAAATCCACATTCTTCTTCCCTGCAAGAGAATGGTTGCGTGAATTTTCATCTCCAGCAACTTCCTCCAATGTACTTGACCATATTTGGTGATCAGGTAGCCTGCTTGGGGAAGAGATCAAAACCTCCAACCAATGACCATTATCTGGCAACTTGCTGTGCTGATTTAATGAGGTGAAGTTGCTCAGAAAGACTTTGTTCTTCCATTTCCTCCTGTGAGAAATCACTCAAAACAATGACCTGTACAGGTTGCTCTTCTTGGAAGAATTATTCCTTCTAACCCCACAGAAACTGCAGAGAATGAAATTACGTCTCCTCATCTCTATGTGTTCTACAAATTCACTCCTAAGGAATACTGAATTTAGATTTAAGAAGATACAGGGGTTTCAATAAAAGAACTTCCATGTAATATGGCCTTTGAAGTAATTATTTTTTTAGATAAGTAAATGTGTACTTAGTTTTATCATTATGAGAGGGAGGTAAATAATACGAGCATTTTACCAGAATGATCTTTTTTGAAACCTGACTTAATTTTCTATGCAAGTATATTGTTTTTTTTTTTTTGTTTCTTGATGATCTCTAAAAAAATCTAAGAAACAAATAATTCAAATCAATTTGTTACGAGACACTGACAAGTGATGTTATGGAAATAAAATAAAGTTACGTGGTGGGTCCTGTTAGAAAACACCCCTCATACTTAGAGAGTGAATATGAGAGAAAAACTAGTTGGGTATTTAAGACTTAATTCATATAACTTGCCACTGAATTCTGTAATTTAATAGCCAGGCACTTCTTCCAATAGTTACAACCATAGTTGTAATTTGCAGTTATGCCTGAGAGGGAGAAAAAGAGTAATGGTATTGTGGATTCAGGCTGAAGAAGAAACACAACACTGATGATGAAGAGGAGGAGAATCATATCTCTTACAATGATTCTTGGGTGTCTACTTCATGAGAAAGAGGGGCCCAATGGAAGAACAAAGATTTTTGTAGAAATTGAGGCTTACAAGATAGGAAATCCCAGGGATTTGCCTGGCTGCCCAGTTTGGGGAAGCTAGTCAGGTCCTTGTAGCTGGGGTGAGTTCTGATGTTAGGCTGAACAGCCCTTTTAGGAGCGTCAATAGAGCTGGGAAAAATCCATTGTAAAGGAAAAGGAATCTTGAGGCAATCAGCTGGTGCAAGATGGAAGGTTAGGATTTTGAAGCTTTTTACTGCAATAGTTAAGGAACTACAGTTTTTTAGGAGAGCTGCCTCGACCTGGAGTCTGAGCTGGTGGGGAGACTTCTATGCTTTGGTTGACATGGGATTGAAGGGGGATTTTCTTATACAGAGCAAGGAAAATAAATTTGGGTATGATACAGGAATGAAATCAGCAGGTTCTGGAGAACTGGTACCGGAAATTTTGAGTAGTTCGGAGAACCGGCAAATACCACCTTTGGCTGGCCCCAGAGTGGGGTGGGAATAGAGATTTTGCAATTTCCTCCCCCTGCCACGTCCACCAAGCCATGCCCACAGAACTGGTAGTAAAATAATTTGACCACTGGTCTGATAGGATTGGATAAAGAGAGAAACTGGTGTTGACCCTGATCATGTCTAAAAATCGAGAGGGGGATAGAAACGGATGCAATTTCCAATCTGTTTGTAAGATTTATTTTCTTGATTATGATAGTTCATTTGAGTCCAGAGGCTGGGAAGTGAGAAATGGCAAAGCTTTGATGACTTGAACTGTGCCATGCCACAATTTAGCTGGAGAAAATAAGCTGAGTTTTCCAGGGAACATGAGGTAGGCAAGGATAGAGAAGCCCAAAGAAATAAACTAATCAAGTGGTAATTAACTATAGTTGGTGGTATGATAACTACAGAGCTACACAATCATTTCTTTCAGGCCAGGGTTCCCCAACCCCTAGGCGGCAGCCCACTACCGAGCTGTGAACTGTTGAGATCCAGGCCACCCGAAGCGGTGGGCAAATGTACACACGTATCCCCACTTGCACGGCCAGTGCATGAGCGCCCATATGCTCCAATTGCACAAGCAGTGGGAGAGTGTGCCCACCATTCACAGAAATGGAGCTGTATGCGTGCGAGAGAACTCTTGCCTGCCACTCACACAAAACCATCCACTCTCCGTCCCTCCCCCGGAAAGGGCCTGAATTATAATATTTATTACTTTATTTTGATTTTCTTTTCCAAAAATCCCTTTTACACAAAGCTTGCCATTTCTCTTTCCAGTGCACCATTGCAGATATTTTCATAGAGGTTGGGATTTGGGAGGAGCATGTCACATGGTTACAATGCAAACTTACTTACTAGTGTATGGGCTTGAGGCTTTGAGATGCAATTAAAGAAGGTGAAGCATACATTGTGATGTCATCATACTTGTGTATTATTGTTAGGAATAAACATCTTTGCGTACAGCATTTCTCTGTTAATATTTTTTAACTTGCAATTGAAGATAAGCCACTGAGTTTTGGAGAAACTAATCAAATGTCACTGTCTAAAAACTGAATTCAAAAAATTGGAAATTAAATTGCATCATGTTGCAACTTGTAAAAATGCTCTGGATAAATCTTTCAGCTCCCTGAATGTATAATCAAGGCAACAACTATCTTTTTAAAAATTAAACCAGAAATTAAAGCTTCATAAAATTCTAAATGGGAATGACCTTTAATAACACAAATTGAATGCTTTCTGCACCAAGACTTCCTAACATGTCTTTGTTATTTGTTTAGCTGCTGTAAGCTTTGATTTCTCTGTTCCAGGGGTGGGTTCCTGCCTGTTCTAACCTCTTCTACAGAAGAGGCTCCACAAATCTACCATGCCGTTTAGAACCGGTTCCAGCTCTCTCCCCCCACCCGTCCGCACATCATCAAGATGAAGAGCGAGAGGAGGAAT